CATATATGACTCTATTTATATTTGCACTTACTTTATTGCAATTTCATTATTTGTTCATTCTTTTAATTAAGTTTTGCTATTAAATTTACTATTTATATGCACTTAATTTTAAGATTGAATTTATGCAAAAAATACAAGTGATCATTTCATATTATGGAAGCATAAATTGTTCAAAAATATTTATATTGGCCACTACACAAGGTAGTACCTTTGTTACTACTGTGGGATATACATACATATCCTCAACGTGCGTACCCAATACAAACTTTGAACAACATTTCAAAGGTCTACACCTACTAGGTGATTACCTAATCCATCATTAATATTGCCCACTACACAAGGTAGTACCATTGTTATTACTACCGTAAGGTGTCCACTATGTTTTTCAACTTAGGATCACCTTCAACGTATGCATACAAGATATTTTAATCTTGGATAAAATATATATCTAATATCCACCACCTTGGTGACTACCATGCAAATTATTTTTAAATATGAGATCCACACAATTATTTTTGCATACGCTGTTACACATAGCCACAATGATTATTAGTTTACATACAAGTAAATTAATACAACGATGGTATATACCATGTAGGAAAATGTCCATCCAAAAAGAGTACGAAGAACTTGCACTAGATGGTCATAATTACCTAATATGGGCTATGGACATGAAAATTTGTTTACATTCCTACGGATTAAATGGTGTTCTTAATGAACCCTAAGCAGGGGATCCTGCGATACAGATCAAATGAGATATGGGGTATTGTCTATTCTTAGGAAATTCATCCATAGAGATGTCAAAGTTGAGTATCTATTAGAAGAAAATCCTAAAACATTATGGCTAGCGCTTAAAGCACGTTATGATAGGGAAAAAGAACTTATTCGACCCGAGGCTAACTATGAATGGAACCATCTACGTCTCCAGGATTTCAAATCCATTGACGAATACAACCATGCCGTTCATACAATCTGCTCTAAGTTAAAATTTTGCAAAAAAGAACCTATAAATACGGAAAAGATAGAGAAAACTCTTTTTACTATGCTTCCCACGGATAGGGTCTTACAGCAACAGTATCGTGCAAGCAAATTCCAAGTTTATTCCAAACTCATTCACACATTAACTCAGGCAGAAAAACATGATGAACTTCTCTTGAAGAACCATCACAAGCGTCCTACAGGCGCAACACCCCTACTTGAAGTTAATTATAATGCTCAGAATAACAAGTTCAATGGTAAATTCCAACGCCATAACAAGAACTCCAAGGCGAAGCCAAATTTCAACAAGCAAAAGTCCAATAATTTTGCTCACGGCAAAGGCAATTCTAAGCCTAAAATTGACAAGTCCAAAACTTGCAAAAAGTGTGGCTGTTACAAGCACACAACTAAAAAATGTCATACACCAAGACATCTCGTTGATCTTTACCAACAATCTCTAGGACATAAACAAAACGTCGAAGGACCAAGATATGAAGCACACTTCAATCTTCAACCTGACGTCAACAAGGAGGCTAGTTGTTCATATCAAGTTCCACAAGAACCAACTAACAACATGACACCTCATCCACAAGAGAATCTTCCAAGCACGGAGAACATGATTGTTGAATTTGCTTCAGACGACATGTTTGGAGACATGGACTAGTTTCTAAAATTCATATATTACCATGTTTACATACATGGCTCAGTATCTAGATACACTAAGAACATCATGTAATAAGTGTCCATAATAATTGTAACAACGTTCTAACAATATATATTTTATCAGATTTGTATTTATATTGTATTTTTATAATATTTGTATTTGTATCAAACATATTTGATATTTAATAAAATTGTATATATTATATATATCTGAAAATAATTTTTATTTTATATTCTTTGTTCTATATATATACTAGTTATCAACGGGAATAATCCAGTGGAGGAAGAATCGTGTCTAGTGCATGGATAGTTGCCTAATCGCCTACGCGAGCTCACCCAGTCACCCGTATCGTCTTCGCTCTATGTTACTTGGCTAAGCGCAGTGGATTTAGCTGCCGGTGAAAGTCATCCCAGTTAGCCGGCCAGGAAACGCGTTGGCAACTTGGCATCGCCGGCCACGCCACCGTCGCCAGGAGACACGCCGCGGCGAAATCGGAGGATAGGTCGCGTCCGGCGTCCGGCGTCCGAGCCGCTCAGCGTCTGGTCCGATCTGACTGACCCTTCCGGCCGCCCGCCGTTCTCTTCCGCTGCTGCCGCGCGCCACGGCGCGTGTGCGTCTCTCTGCGCACTGCGCCCACCGGATGCAGGCCGCGGCAGGACATGAGCGTCCAACAGCCGGCAGGAGCCAGGAGTGGGTGACGTGACGGTGAAACGTGAGCCGAGAGCGACGGCGTTCATGGGTAATCTCTCGGCGGGACCACACCGGATACAGTGATTAATAACGTGACCCGTCGTGACAGCGCCTGCAACGATCGGCGCATGATGAGCAGCAGCTGGTACGACGGCACTAGTACTACACTACTAGTACACTGAGCCCGTGTTTAGTTAAAAAAAAGTTCCAAAAAATGCTATAATAGCCATCACATCGAATCTTACGGATACATGTATGAAGCATTAAATGTAGACAAAAAAAACTAATTGCACAGTTTGGTTGAAAATCGCGAGATGAACGTTTTGAACCTAATTAGTCCATGATTAAACACTAATTGTCAAGTAAAAACGAAAGTGCCAACTTTCCCTCCAACCCAACACAGCCTGACGGCGGCACCGTACCTGTTCCTGTCGACTTCTTTTCATTTGTAGGAGTAGACCAGACCCTGCTTCAAGAGAGAAGACGTGATCACGTGAACGAAGTAGACTCCACGGCCCACGGGCTTCCGTTCCATTTCATTCATCATCTGTACTACAGGTTTGCAATTCAGGGACCAGAAACCCTTTCGACGGATGCCTCTTTGATCTGCGAGCGTGACAACTATGGACTTTGCTGTCAGACGGGACGGGCGAGCTGATTTCCATCTCATCTCAAAATCCAAAACGGCTTTGAGTTCTTCAATATGTAATCATGATCTTTCCTAGCTTACTTCCTGTGGGCCTGTTGTTGCTGTAGATCGAAACATGTCTAGAGTTCCTTCGACTGCTAGTATCTATTAGAACAAATCGATTCCATTTTACATGTCTTAACTCTAAATTAATCAAAATATCTTCAATGAAATGGCGCACATGAATCTGCAATATGTAAACCCCAAGCCATTTTTTTCCTCTATATGTAGATGTAGGAAAGAGAAACGACGATACCACGCCAATTTATTATGCACCGTAATTTCATCCAAGAATGGTAGTAGTAGATTACAATTTTGCAGTCCTAATTGTTTTGAGGCAATGAGAATGCCACGTCGCGCACTTCCGCTTGTTAAAGTGGAAAGTGTGAAGATTTTTTCGTTCTGCTACGGCTCTTTTCCTTTTGTCCGCAGTCATTCCAAAAATTATCCATTGACCCATGGAGCAAGATGCTGCCACTTGCAACACAAACGCGTGGCGAAATCGATGTTCAGTCTTCTGTGTATGTCCTTGGCTCTTCTATTTCTGAAATTCAGATTCAGTGTAGTGAAAAAAATGTACACAGTTATCCAAATGTCTTAACAGATTCCAATTGACGAGCCTTTCTACAATATACATAAATGTGAGATCATTGCTAGAGAGGTGCAGCGGAGACGACGACTCGACTGCCGACCTGATACTGGTTGTTCCTATCCTCCATCCGACCATCCCTGACGCATATCTGCATTCGGCAGGAGCTTGGCGACTCGGCGTTATCTTTTGTTGGCCACCACAACCAGGTTTGGTGAGTCTGCCCTCGCTTGTCCATGTCATTCTCACTTTGTTCCTGCGCCCGCCAAATGCCAATGCACGTGCCCCTCCTACCTGCTTGAAGTGATCCACACGTCTTCGGACCTGAACACGGGTGCAAATAACGCCTTGTTTTCTTTCATGAAGTTTACTCCCTGTCCCATCGAATATTTAATACATGTACTAAGTATTAAATATAAATTAAAAAATAACTAATTGCATAGTTTACGACTAATTTACGAGACGAATCTTTTAAACCTAATTAGTCCATGATTTGACAATGTGGTGCTATAGTAACACATGTGCTAATGACGGGTTAATTAGGCTTAATAAATTCGTCTCGCGGATTACTGACGGATTCTGTAATTTATTTTTTTATTAATATCCGAACACCTCATGCGACCGCATATAACATCCGATGTGACACCCTAAAACTTTACACCCCGGATTTAAACCAGGCGTAAAGGCTCAGGTAGGCCGTCATGTACTCATGTCTCGTCACTCGTCTGCTTGGCCATGTGCAGCTCCATGAAAAGATTATTATCGTAAGACCAGCTCCATGGAAAGATTATCGTCGTGCTCGTAAGACCGGAATTAGTTGAAAAGATATCCATCCACAGCATCCAAATTTTGGACAGCGACACCAGTAAATAGATAGGCAAGAATCTGAGAATGGAGAAGCGACAGCTGAACATCAATGGCAGATCCAAAGTAAACCATTCAAATGGTCAAGATAGTAATTCCAACGTACGTATAAACCAGGTGTATCAGAGGGTAGAAAAGTTTGCTGCAGCGTTGATACAGCTGCATAAGAATATACTTCCACTGACAATTACAAACTGAATAGACCCATTATCACTATCATTACTGGGCAGGGAGGAAGCTACCTCTGTGACAATAGCCTTTCCCCCAAATCTCAATATTCTACGAGAAAATAAAGATGCATAACAGAGTACTTCCACTGACCATTACAAACTGAATAGACTCATCATCAATATCAATACTGAGCTGCGAGGAATTTGTCGCCGTGACAACCTCCTTTCCCCCGTTCTCATCACAATACACACTAAAATTCTGGTTAAAAAATTCTGGTACAACACTTCTAACATCAAGATCCACACTGCAGATAAAACAAATTCCTAAGCTCAACAATTAAGAGGTCAATCGCTGCATCAGCTTGATGGGCGGTTATTACTGACAGGAACCGCAAGTGAACTGCTCGAATCATGTTGCGTCTTGCATGCAAGCCTCACAGAAGTATAGATCTGCGAGGTTTCAGCCATTGCACCATTCCCGTAATCACCGCAAGCCAATCTTTTGGTAACCGGGGGGATCAAGATTATGCCCAGTTGGTTGATCGTCTCAAGATGACGCTCTGTGAATGGGTTGTTCCACATTAATGTGTTCATGGCTGGGGCAACAAAGAGTGGTTTGCTGTAGTCCCACGCTCTCACGATGCATGTCAAGAGGTTGTCGCATAACCCACCGGCGATCTGAACAGAATAATCTAGCATCACTTTTTTTATACAATGAAACCAATTCACTATTCACAAAGAGAAAAAGATACCTTAGCTAGGGTATTTGCTGATAATGGAGCAATCACCATGATATCTGCCCATTTACGCAGCTCAATGTGTAAAACTTCATCTCCTATCTTCTTCCAGGTAGACCATTCATCATCATCAGTGTAAAGAACGATGTCACTTGGTAGAGATGATCTATCAACAAAGTGCAAAGATGACGTGGTGGCCACAGCTCGGACATCTGCCCACTCAGAGAAACTTCGACAAAGGTTCTCAAATTTTATAGCGGCTACACTTCCTGAAGCAGCAAGGAGGACCCGAGGCTTACTAGGTTGTGAGTAGTCCATCACCAAACTCTCTTGTACTGCCTCTGATGCGGCCATCAGCTCTGCTTGAAACGCTCAGCTACATAGGATTAGAGAAAGTCAGAGGATTTGTACAAGTATAGAAAAACATGATTAACAATGAAAGATCTGGAGAGAAATGAAAGAAAAACAGGGAATTAATCATTTCCAATAAGAAAGAAAATTACTTCTCCATCACTCCATGTGGCCATGAGTTTTATTTGTGTAAAGGCCGAGGAATGATATGTTTCCAGATTCTCGACTCTGCTAGTGCTATGGAAAACCAGTGTTCTAAGTTTCAATGATAAGTGCTTTTCTTTATCCTGCTTATTTACAGTTTGAGAAAGGTAGACAATGTGATTACTCTGCAGAAGAGTTCAGTGAAACATAATAATCTGAATTCTCCTGCAAATTAGAAATACATGCACATACTATCTCATGTCTCCTCTTATCTAAGGACCATAGGCTATACATAAATAAGGACCAGGGTTCTAGCACGACTACTGTATTATTTCCACGAGCCTACGCTATAATACATCCAATACTTCATCTTCTAAGCATTTTGAACACAGGCTATGCCTACAGAAATATAGAGTTACAGAACAGCACTGCACCGATCTGTTGATAGTAAACCAGCAAAGTGAAATCCAGTTAGTTTTTCTGTCCCTCAAGACCAAACCTGCCCAATTGGTAGAGGCGTGAGCGTGAGGATACCGGAACATGATCCAGATTAATTTCGCAGTTGCCTAAACTCCCTACAGACCATGGGGGCAACGAACTATGAAATGACCTCTTACTGTAATTTTGTTCAAAAGGAATAAATTAGGCCTATGGGTAATCTCAGGGCTGGACAAATTGGTGGGCATGAGAGTTCAATCCTCGGAAGATAAAACGCAATTACTCGCTTCAGATGTGTATGGCGTCCTCACGTCCGAGGCGTCCAATAAACGTTGCTTTGGTGTCTGAATCACGTCAAATCGCTTGTGGCGGGCGCCATAAGGACCGGCAGCGGGAGGAACTTGGAGATCGATGGGGCATCGGCAGGAGCGAGAGAGATGATTGGGAGGTTTCTCTCACCAGCAAGCGGGAGAGGAAGAAGCAGCAGCAGCACCCCCGTGCAGCCGCGTTGTCCTTGCTGCCGCGCCGCCCGTCGAGAAGTAGCTGCCGCCAAGTCGCGCTCGTTCTGATGGGGCGCAGAGTGGTTTGGGGAGGGAGGGGAAGCAGCAGAGAGGAGAAGGAGAAAGGGAAGCACGAGGGAGAGGAGCGGAGTTGCAACGGCGGTGCTGGAGAACGGGAAGGAGGAGAGCAGCGGTGCTGGAGACGAGAGAGGGGAGCGGCGGCGCTGGAGAGTGGAGACGACAGACGAGACAGTGGAGCGGCGGCAAGAGCCCCTAATTTTTTTACTATTTGACCTTTTTTTCATAAAATTTATATTTAGCCCATTGAGAGACTTAAACTTATCTTTTGACCCTGTGGGTCGACGCTATGAGTCCTGACACTGAGGTAACACGTCTCGGCGCAACAGATCTTAACGCCGAGGTGTCTGACCGTGCATAGAAAAAAATCCTACGTAGTACCTCGGCGCCACAGGTATTGGCGTCGAGGTACCGGCTTCAAATCCTGTGGCCAAGTGAAAAAAGAGAGAGAGGTGGGTCGCCCGGACAGAGGCGACGTTGGAGACCAGGCACGTGCGGCGCGCGCTACGTGCGCGCACAGCCTACCAGGCGCGTAGCTCGGCGCCCGAGCCAACCAGCAGCCTGCAGCGTCGGTTCGCCTTGCTCCGTTTCCCGCGCCGATCTGCAAAAACCACCGGCTGCATGGGTGGCACGCTTCAGTCTCACTGTCGTGTGTTGCCAGACCTACGCCCTACGAGCCCCTCTCCACGCAGGCACGCTCAGGGGCTGTTTGGAACGTAGGAATTTCACATGAATTTTATAGGAATTAGTTCATTTTCACAGAAAAAAAATATAGAAACAGAAAAAAAATCATGCGTTCCAAACAGGGCCTCACTGTTCGTTTACATGTTCAGGTGGCCTTTGCCCGCTGCTGTGGCTGGCTGCAACTAGTATATCTACAGTAATTCTACAGTGAAATGCAAGAGAGACCACAGCCAGCAGCAGCACTACAGTGAAATACTGTTAGCTGACTTCTGTTACCTGCTTATCCTGTTTAACTCGATTTGTTTAACCACGTTGTGCTTTCCTCCTTTTATTGAACCGATTTGATTGATAAAAATGTTCAGTATATTTTTTTATTTCAGTCAAACATAGATCTTCCTCTAGGATCTTAATACAAATAGTATCCATATACTATAAACAAGTCCAAAATAAATAAGAAAGACATATCGGAAGGATGCTCCCATACGGTTGATGTGATGTACTCAATCATTCTTAAATTGCAAGACGTTTGACTTTTTGACATCAAGTTTGATTACTTGTCTTATTCAAAAATTTATGTAAAATATCACTTCTTTCGTCGTGGTTTGGTTTATTAATAAAAATTCTTCAAGAATAACTTAAATTTGACTATATTTGCACAAAATTTTTAAATAAGACAAGTGATTAAATTTGGGGCAAAAAAAGTCAAACATCTTATAATTTGAGATTGGAGGGAGTATATTTCATGTGTTACTGTGCTAGTGTAGACCATCATACTCCATATATTCCAACGCAAGTCACATCTTCAATAGTTTTTTACGTGCGCGCCAGTGCGAGAGGCCGCGTGGTGAAAAAACTCCTAAAAAACGTAGCAGAGCCTTCGTCCTTCGGCAGTTCGGCTTTGATTCGTGGCCTTTCCCTAGCGATGGAGTGGGTTTTCGTCGGACGGAGCAGTGTAGACCACAGCAGCAACAGTTTGAAGAACAGTCTAACGCAGCCCGACAAGAGTCACAAGACAGACTAGTTGCAGCCAGCAACACAGCAGCGGGCAAAGGCCAGCTGAACATGTGAACGAACAGTGAGCGTGCCTGCGTGGAGAGGGGCCCGTAGGCGGTAGGTCTGGCAACACGGCAGTGAGACCGAAGCGTGCCACCCATGCAGCCGGTGTTTTTAGAGATGTTTGGTTGCCCGCCGAAGCCTGCCACTCCATCTGTGGCGCTGCCGAAGCTTTTTCTTTTCTCGCCGTGGCTCGCCACTACGCAAACAACGGTGGCGCCGAACCTTAGGCGACGAATTTTGGCGCCTTAGCTGTGACGTGATTTTGTGCCGGGGAGTAGCGATGGCGGCCACGACTTTCGCGAGAACCAAGCAACAACCGCATAATCGGTGGCCGCCACGGTCCGTGGCGTGGCTCGCGTCGGCGAGAACCAAACACCACCCTAGTTTCTCGCGGCACCACATGTGTGGCGTGGCGGACGTCGGCCAGCAACCAAACAGCTCTCGCCAAACCGGGCGCGAAACGGAGCAAGACGAACCGACGCCGCAGTCGCTGGTTGGCTCGGTGCGCGGCACGGGCTACGCGCCGTAGTAGGTCAGGCGCGCATGTGGCGTCGCCGCGCGCGTGCTCGGTCTCCAACGTCCGCCTCGTCCGGGGCCCCACCTCTCTCTCTCACTTGGCCGCAGGATTTGAAGTCGGTACATCGCCGCGGCGTCGAGCTCGGCGCCATATATTCTAGCGCCGAGGTACCAGACACGTAGGATTTTCTTCTGTGCACGGTCAGGCACCTCGACGCCAAGATCTGTGGCGCCGAGACGTGTTACCTCGGCGCCAGGATTAATGGCGCCGACCCCAGGGTCTAAAGATGAGTTTAAGTCTCTCAGGGGCCAAATGTAAATTTTATTAAAAAAAGAGTTAAATAGTAAAAAATTAGGGCAAGAGCCAGGGCGACGACGGCTAAGGGAATTGGGCTGCGTCCTGTGTGGTGGCCTGGTGAGTTTGTCGCGTGGGCTCACTTGTTAGGCTGTCGCACCCAGTGCACAGAACCTAAACCCAAAATAGGTCTTCAACACAATATCTATAGCTTTCAACATAGTACCTATATGAAAGATCTATTTTAGATGTCTGGAGAGGCATAACCTAAATTTGAGTATCCTCTCTCCTGAAGACTCATTTACAGAAATGGTTGTCTTTTGGATCTTGTTGGAGGAGAAGATAAAAATAGGTATTGAATCATTTGCCTGTAGCGCTACTAAAGGAAGAATGAGTCTTGTATTTTGGGTCGCGGTTGTTGGAGACAGTCTTACTCGTCATCCTTTCCTTTTTTTTCCTCCTCGTTTTCCTCCACCCTCCTTTTACTCCATCCTCTACACATCCTCTGCCATCTATTCCATGGTTCTTACTCGTCCTCCTTTCTTTTTTCCCCTCCTCCTTTTCCTCCATCCTCGACACATCCTTTACAGTCTATTCCATAGTTCTTACTCATCCTCCTTTTCTTTTACCCCTCCTTTTCCTCCATCCTGTATCGTCTATTCCATAGTTCTTACTCGTCCTCCTTTCCTTTTCCCTCCTCCTTTTCCTCCATCCTCAACACATCCTCTACAATCTATTCCATATTTCTGCCCTGCTATTTTGCATTTTGTTTTGAGTAGCAGAGTGTCGCCTAGCCACATGCCTTAGCTGCTTAAGGCCTCGTTCCATTATCTTGGAATGGGCCTAGGAATCATTTTCTCCTCCTTCACCTAGTATACAACCAAGATCAACCCAACCTTTTGTTCATGAACATAAGACAATTGGTATCGAAGAACAAGCAACAGTGGGGATAGGACCTAGTAATGTAAATGCTGCAACCATAATTAGTCGTAGGTGTTGAAGTTAGCAATCCTCTCCTTGAAAATCTCATGTTCTACGTAATGATGATGGCATTGTTGTTGAATCTAGACTTACGCATATCAATTGAGCAAGTCGTATGTTTTTGTTCCCAAGAGTTATTATCTTTGCTCACTAATTAATTGTGTTTTCATATTGCATCCTTCATTTCTTTCAAATGTTCAACTTGCATGTGTAGGTTCATAATCATTTGCTAATGACGATGAGATATGGGAAGGAAGCTGGATGGACCAAATCATCATTGATTAGGTACTTATTTTATACCACATCATGTT